CCGTCGGGTGACTCTTCTTCGTCGTCGTCGACACACACACACACACCCGCTGAGCCGAATCCTCTGGCTGGATGCTGCTCGTGTTATATTCTAAAGAAGTCGTATATATATAACGCATTCGGGTACATAAATCCTTTTCGTCGTTGCCACTGCAGCACTCACTGTGACGACGACGACGACGACGATAATAATATCATACCCTCGACCTTTTCGTGAACGTCCGTGTCAGGGCATTTCGAATTTCTCCTATCTATATATGGCTCGCACAGTATGCGTGTGAGTCTCATTTACTATGTGTTATACGATTTGAGTGCCTATTGCAGGTTAGCGTCGACCCTAGAACCGTTAATATTATAACCAGGTTGTAAACGGAAGACCTGACAAAAAAAAAAATCACACTACTTAAACGTATGCCAAAAACTATGAAAATTATGTAGTTAAGAAATTCCCATAAATAATATTTTGAATAAAGTCATTACGTTCCTAATTAATCAACTCGGAAAAATTTTGATATTTAAAATAATTCTAAAAAATAAACTACTATTGACTTTGATAAGCTTTTATACCATCAAAATTGTTCTGCCGTCAGATCTTTCCAAAAAAAATTAAATCAAATTTAAAATATATTATTTTTAATTATACTTGTAGCGAAAGTGACTATAAATTACATATAAAAAAAATATAAAATATTGATTGGAACAAAAGTTATTTCATTTTTCAGGTCTTCCTGTTACACTGCTCTGTACCCATATGAATTTTTTTCTGTTTAAGCTTACAAGTTGCATAAATGTATTTACTATTATTATTTATTAATGTAATAATTTAAGTTTGCATAAATGTCGGTTCCGGTTACGATACGGTATTCTTATAGATTAGACGAAACTGTTCTAACAAATAAAAACTATCAAAACCCTTAATCATAGAAAGATTCTTTTGCAGAGAATCTTCCTAGAGAACCCACTCTCAAAATAAGGTCCTGGTTTTTTTCTAAAAAAAAAGCGAGGGTTCAGGCGAGATTCCATTCTATATAGTATTATATAATTGTTAATTTTTTTTTATAGTTCAAGTCTCTGCCCTCAACGCAGAAATCCGGTATATATATAACGACATGTATAATATGGCGATGACGATAAAACTGCGGAGAAAATTTGTCAAATCGCGTCAGACGACCAAGTAGTGTTTATATTTATATATAGAATAATATATAATGTAAAAGTATTTATAGGTACAATAATATGGTTTACACGAACAATACATTTTTTTCAGAGAGAAAATTAATCGATTTCTATTTCGTTTTTTTGTTTTTTGTACACAGTAAATAATAATAATAATAATAATAATATTATATATAATATATAAAAAAAAAAAACTAATTAAATAAACAACGAAAATCCATAACTAATAATAGACATATTATATGCTTTTATTCTTATCCCCAAATTGCACTCCAAATCGATTTTTAAAATATAAATTCATATTTACAAATTATTTATAATAGATAACATAATTTTTTTTCGATACATAAATGCGTGTAGAGCAATCCAACTTATTTACATCCCATATACATTATACAATTTTGTATATATGATGCGTACGAGGGGCTAATATAATATATATTATTCTGAGAACACAAACATATTATATAATTTTTTAACAATATACAATACCGATATTTTAATATGTATAGGTAAAAATAATAATAATAATAATAATGATAATATGATAATAATAATAATAATAATAGTATATGTTAGCTTTTACAAATCTACAGAAGAATGTTAGAACGGTTAAAATTATTTCTTAATTCCCGCGCGGAGTCGTTTATATATCTTATGTTCAATATATATATATATGTATATAATAATATATACGTATAATTTATATGTATATGCTTTAAGGCGACCGGCGACCAGTACAATAATATATATAAATATAATATGTATAGAGTAGTCGAAGAATTTCCATTTCCCGTGTTGGCGAGCGATCGACCGCGCAGCAGTGTCTGGAGGTTCAGTCGTCCGAACGTCCTGAAAATTAAAAATCGCAAAAAATACAATAAATCAGCCGTCGTCAACGATAACATCGGACAAAAAAAAAAAAATTATTAATACGTCATATTGCGGTGGAGCGAAGAAGCGTACCTATATAATATATATTTCGACTGCGAATGCAATAAATCCTAATATCAGCGACCATCCCCTCCCGACTGGGCAAGTACCTATAATAAAATATCATATTTTCTTTTCACATCTCTCGCCATATGGACATATACCATAAAACCAACGTAAAGGTGATATACACAGGTATGATGGGTATACCTACAACTCTCATATGATAATACCACTACGATGTGGAGGAGCAATGAGCAGGGGGGGTGAGTTTTCAGGTGCATTTTTGTACCCCCCTAGAAATCACATCACCGCCGTCGGTGGCGCAAACGATATAAACGGTGCGTACTTCTTACATCATATTATTATTGTGCGCTGCACGTGGCATATAGGTACCTATCTGATATTATTATTATACGATCGGGTGTACCTGCATATGGGTACATTGCGTTTGTAAAGTATTTTAATAGAAATAATATAATGCGTGTGTGTGACGTCGCGGGGGTAAGAGACCCGACCCGATGCGATGAGAAACGGACGCATCTGTGTCGTATCTGTGCGAAAAGCGGTCGGAAGCGAAAAAATAAGAGCGGGCGAGTGGCTTCGCTTCGCCGAGCGTTTTTTTTTTCCTCGCAAAACTTTCGGTCCGCCAAGATAGTTTTAACAGCTGAGCTCCTCGAGCCAAATTCGCACGGGCTTTCCCTCGATGACGTATATACGCATAGCACGGTCGAATGAAAAAAAAAAGGCTAAACACGACGTCAGTTAGCCGACAAGACGGTATAAAAGTGCCGGGCAGAAGCGAGACGGTTAGGTTATTACACCGAGCGAGGCGAGTCTGACGAGAATTTCCAATATTCCCGGCCAACTTGTAAACTTGTTATTTGTAAGCATATTACGTCATGAAATCGACATGGGAGTACCGTCCGGGGCCGGATAAACTGGGACATTTGTCCGCAGTATCGACAACGACCTACCACCTTCAGAAATTGAAATGACGAAACTTTCCAGTGAGAGACAATAGTACGATCTATTATATAAAACCAAACATTGAAAATAATAATAAGTAATATTTAGCTGATGTTAAGAATGTCTACAAAAATATTATATTATGATTAAATAGTACAGATAGATTCATGTACAGTTGTACAGGTATTAAAAGGTATTAGACATGGCTATCGCTTACTTGTCATACTAAAACAGGAATTACTAATATATTATTCGTGCATAATAATGGCAAAGTCAGTTATATTTTTAATTAAACCCACTGCTCACTATATAGCTGCATGATATAATAATATCAAGTATGGGTGCAGGAGGTAATACATAAGATCATATGGAAATATAGAACAAAATATCGATGGTAAGAATTCATTAATATATATTACAATTTTCGTGTGAAAATTTTGAAAAAGAGAAATTATTTGAGCGGCGTAAAATTTAGAGGGCCGGCCCTGTATTGTGCGTACTGCAGCGTGACCAAACAATCGTTATTTTCTTACCTATTACGAACGAAATTTCGTGACACGGAAATGTGATATCGCCTATTATGTACGATTGCGACGGACTTATTGTGAAATCGAAATGCGGTAACGCCGACAATATATTTGGCGTACAAATAATATAATGATAGCTCAGCAGGGTGCGCAATGGCCAATGGGCATATATGTGCCTACTGTCGTAACGGAAATACCTTAACGTCAACGGGGCGTGAGGTAATCGAGTAGACGCTTTATACATCTCGAGAGTGTATACGAAGCGAGCGTGGTGCATTTAAATGCATTTATAATATGCAGTCTGACGCGCGCGCGCTATTTATATATAATATTATAATGCATAATATGGGTAGTAGGTAGGTAGGTACCTCTCTATGCGTGTATATACCTCTCTATATGTGTTCACACACACACAGACGAACGGAAACGCAGACGGAGGTAACCCATTCACCGATCTTAATCTCTGCTCATCTGTCAGTGTCAACACTTGCAGCAGCAGCAGCAGCATTCGAACCACTCTGTACCCACCCGATTCTCCACACGACCCCTCCCCTCTCGCAGTCCGACTGTGTGTTTTTATCTCATAGGTATATTATATATACTGCACACTCCTCCTCCGGCAGCGTCACTCCCCCCCCCCCCTATCTCTTGGGCTCGTTCTATATCACAGTGCACTTCTGTCCACGGATTATAATGGCACAGCAATAATGTACATGTAGCGAGGTACACGCCATATTATTATGATATATTATCATCCGGATAGATATCGTACGCCGAAGGACCCGAGCAGGTGTTGGTAAACAATATAGGTGTGTACGCGAGGTAATACTAACCGAGTGATCCATTTAGGTGGCATTTATTTAGTCTTGTTTTTATGTTTTTAAATATATAGTACCTACCTACTATTATGTGATTGTGCGAATGTATAACATTACAGGTATACAATATTATTAATAGAATTTCTGTTTTGAGAAAAAGCATTTTTTGAAGGGTGTGTTATTTGTTTGACAGTCTAGTTTTTATCTGATTATTTTTCTCAAAATGTTGACATGTATGAAATATTAAAGAAATATGTTTTTTTTCAAAACATTTATATAGTCATGGCTGGTTGTCATTGAGAAATCCAAAATAAAAATCCCTCGAACCAAAGAAAACCATTATATTTTCTCCAAATGAGGAAAAATTGTGTACCTATCGTTCAATGGGTTTTCATTATCACATTACGCGTCAGCCTGTCGCCTGTGTATAGTGTATACCTATACGCTCACCTCAAAACATATTTATGGCAATATTAATAATAATTTTTATTCGGTTTTCTCGCTTTCCACCGCAGCAAAAAACGCATACAATATATCGTCCACTATAACGTACCCGAAATGACAATCGGTGGTGTAAATTACACGGGTGACACGTAACCATTCATCTGTCTGTGCTGCTGTTGCTGGTGCTGTTGCTGATGCGGCTGTTGATGCGGTTGTTGCGAAGGCCTGTAAAATGCACGTATGAGATTATAATATTTTGTTATCATTATTAGCGTTAAAATCGATAGACGTCCACCGATCTCGGCGACCTGTCGATCCGCGATCACAACCGATATTTTTGGTACGGGTCACTACTCACGTCTTGTAAAACGGTTTGAACGCCGTACTCGCGTCGTTGGCCACAACCGCCATCTGATGGTTGTTGTTGTTAGTGTTTGAGTTGTTATTGTTGTTGTGTTGGCCGAGCGCAACGTGCTGTTGATGATATTGCTGCTGTTGCTGCTGCTGCTGCTGTACTTCTTGGGCCGACCTGACCACATCGTGCTGCTGTTGTTGCTGGAGCGGCGGAACGTGTTGCCGGTGGTGATAACTGTTGTGCTGCTGTTGCTGCTGGTGATGGTACCCGTTGTAAGTGCCCTGATGGCCGCCGAACTGCTGTTGCTGCTGTTGACCGGAAGAGGCGGACAGCGGTAACTTCATGTTGGGCGGGGTCTGCGGTGGCGTGTCGGTCTGCACGTCCGGATATCCGGCCATTTGCTGGGCCGACGACGACGACGAATTACTGTTGCCGCCATTGTAACCACTGCCGTAAAACCCGTTGGCGCCGTACCTGTGCACAGAAATACGGTTAATATGGTCAAAGGCTTAGAAAAATATTAATTTCGATGAATTATCATATGCATGCGGTTTTGATTTAGTAGGACGATCTAACCTAATAATAGATAAAACCCACGAATGTAATATTATGTGAGCCGAATCTTTTTTAATTGCAAAACATTATATCCCCCATTATATCCGCCATCGAGACTATTATGCTATGCTTCGCCTTATTACATTTATTGGTACGTATAAAGTCCCGATAACTCGAACTTCAAGGGTAATAAAAATAAATTTGACTATAGATAGTTGCCTACAGTACCGAGTGTATAGGAATTTTCGCAAGAAACGACAGAAAAAATTCTAGTTTTAGATGTTTTTGTGTTATTGACTGCGCGTAATGCTAGTGTAGACGAAGCTCAAACCCAACTCACCTGGAGTAAGACGAACCAGACGGCGACAGCGACGAGGTGTTGGGCATGGTGAAACCGGGCGAAGCCAGGCTCGGACTGATGACGTTCGGCCACTGGTGTCCGGGCGGCGGAGTCTTGGACGCTGCGGTGTCGGCCAGTGACCATATTTTCGGCTTGGTGGGCGGCAACGGTATACCGCAGTCCTGATGGTGATCGTCCTGCATGACGTGATGATGGTGCACCTTCATGTGGTGCATCTGATCGGGGTGGTACAGGTGCTGGAGCATCGGCTTGCGATCGTCGTCGCCGTCCGACATGACGCCTTGGCCCATCATGTGATCCCCGTGACTATCTGATATCGCACATAAAAAAAAAACACGTAATGATCATTTCGTTCGGTTGCGAATGCGAGAGAAAGTCGAGAGGAGATCGGATTCCAGCGTGTTTGGCCGGGAACTCGATCTCGCGAGGTTGAGTTGGCAAACGAGGATGTAGTAGTGCCTAGTGCCATTATTGCGTTCAAGCCAAATTTAGCACTCGATTTAAAAAATCTAATGCTCATTTAGTTAATAGGCTTTGGAATAATAATTATGGTTGCTCGAAAGAATAGTGCAGATTAGCTGTGGCTCCTTTCGGGAGTTCTCTTGGGACTTTTCCTATACTATTATCCATCAGAGATAAAATACCCACGATCAGATCACTCGACGTCTAACAATAAGACGTATATTCGCCTACCGGAGCAAAATCGATGAGAACCTAACCGTGGAAATCCGACACGAATATTACGGTCACGGGTGTAATGTCATGGCGAATATAAAGGTAATTTATGAATATCGCGAGCATTTAATATGCGTACGAGGTACATAGACGTGCGCAACAGTCAACGATTGTACTAGTCGAAAAATAAACCGTTGTCAAATAATAATAATATATGCGAAACATAATATAATATGCCCGGCCCTAAATGCCATACGATAATGACGATGATACGTATAATGTGTACCTGCGTGAGCGTAAAGAAAATTCGCAAGAATAGGAGGACATATTATAGCGTGGACGCACAATCGCGGAGAATAATATTATAATATACATTAGGCGTATAATATTAGAAATAATAATAATAATATAATAGGAATTTTCACGACTCGCGTGTATTGTTTATATATTATTATCAGACACACGTTTAGACTCGTATGTAGCCTACATAAACACACACACACACGTAACATATAAACATTATATATTATTATATTGTGTGTACGGCGTGTGAGCGTGTAATTGCGCGGATATGCAAATTTCGTACACAAACGCGCTCACGAATCGACCGGCCAGCAGCATCCGCCGGAGCAGCAGGAGTAGCAGCCGCCGCTCGCATAATATTATATTATTATAATAGTCGCCGATTCACACGGCGTTCGTACCTATATATATATTCGTGTGCGACTCATGACATCTTTATAATAATAATAATATAACACATACGAGAAGAAACGGGAATAAATTACCTCGTGTGTGTGTACATTTTATATTTTTTTTTCAACACGCGGTCTGGGTGTGAAACGGATCGCGAGCCGGTCGTGACCGGGAGATGGCCGAGATAAAGGCGAAAGCCCTACCGTTTCGAGTACGCGCGAGCTGCACAATACTATAATATACGGCCATGAATAAAATACCATATACACATGCACACACAATAATATACGTTTATATAATATACAAGAGGGCTGTATATACAAATGGGCACGTCCCGCGGAGGCGACAATGATTCATCCGCCACCGCCCGAGTGTAAATGGCTCGGGCGGCGTTCCCGCTGGAGACGACCCCGCCGGCCGCAGTTTTAAACGGAGCACATAATAATATTACAATATTATTATTATTACGGTGCAGTGGCGGACCCCTCACGCAAGCGCCCGCATTATATGGGATTGTCGTTGTATAGGAAAATAAAAATACTTTTCGTTAATAGCTTCGAAATGGTAATAATATGCCCGACCACCACCACTCTCTCTCCTCGCACACCCTCTCACTGGATAGCGCCTTCTCCTCGCACACATATTAACCGTTTAGGGTGCGCGACCGTATAAAAGCTCTTATATAATTTTCGACGAATAAAATATGTATACGTATATATCGCAGGGTCCGCACTCACACATATTATATTCCACAAGTGTCATCCTCGTCCGATTTCTCTATTAAATACATCGCGGAGGGGTGCTCCAATTACGGTAATGCAGCGTTACGCACCGTTCTGCACCGTTTTTTCCGCGAGAGCACAGACAAAAAAAAACACTCAGTGACGCAATGTATACATAATATAAACATTAAAATATTCGCGCGGTGTACTTAGAGATATTGCGGCGCATACCTTTTCTGACGTCGTTGTTGCAGTGTTTCTCGTCGCCCATCAGCATGTCGTCCTTGTCCTTGTCCTCGCAGTCGGACGACCCGGCGTCGTCGTCGTCGTCGTCGTCCGTCTTGTTCTTGGGCTCCCACGTCATCTTGTTCTCCTTCTTCAGCCGCCTCCGGGCGTTGGCGAACCACGTGCTGACCTGCGTGAGCGTCATCTTGGTGATGATGGCCAGCATGATCTTCTCGCCCTTGGTCGGGTACGGGTTCTTCTTGTGCTCGTTGAGCCACGACTTGAGCGTGGCCGTCGACTCCCGGGTGGCGTTCTTCCGTCTGGCCGCCAAGTCGTATCCCGCGCTGTACCTGCGCAACACACGGAAACGGACGTCCGGTCAGATAATAATAATAATAATATGCGAAATATCGGCACGGGAAACGCGTGTAGGCAATATTATTGTGGACGCAGAGGACGCGCCGCCGTCCGAGCCGGGACGCGTGGATCTCGCACAGAAGATTTATGATCAATACCGGTTAGATTTATGCATCCATACGCGCTTGACCCCGCGCACCGGGACATAAACGCGTGTTCGTGCGCTTATGTGTGTCTATACGAACACGCGTGTGTGCGTACGACGCGTAATTTATGCTCGTCGACGACGACGACGATGATATTCGTCTGCAGCACACACGCGCGCTTTTATTATTATCGTTTTTCTCCGTCTCTGTGGCTGTGGCGTCTATTCGGATATAAAAAATAAATTATTTTTTCGTGCGCCTCTCCACCCCCGCCCCCCGAACATCGCCCGGACCGGCGAGTCTCCCGCCGGGTTGTCACAACATGTCATCCACGCGTGTATTATATCATATTATTATTGTATAAATTAATATAATATAATATGAATAATAACGGGGGCCGCACGTCCACCGCCTAATTTGTATAATCGCGCCCGACAGAGACACGCACTGGGAGAGAACAAAATCGTATAATATAGGAGAGCGAGACGTAAACGGAGACGGTGCGATCCGTCTCGGGGGCGGAGAGGAGACCTGCTGCAGCAGGAGAGCAGAAGTCCATTAAGTCTTCGTCGGGAATCAATGGTCGAAGCTCGCTACGCGTACATATTGTATAGGTATATAATATATATTATACCAACACAACAAAAGCTCTGGGGATTATTTGTCGTATATAGTACAATAATAATATATAATGATCGGTTGTGGCGGTGGGGGTGGGGGAGAGTAGCAGAACTGTTCCGTGAGCGCAAACAACACTGCAACCCCCGCGGTTCGGTGGTGCGGTATAATAATATAGAAATATATATCTGCAGTAGTTATATGTACCTGCGGGTTTTATTATGTAAAAGGAAAGCTGCCGCACCGACGACTATATTATTTTATATATATATAAACAATAAAAATAAAAGCGTAAAAACGGGTAAACGGAATAGAAATAATAATAATACAAAAAAAATCAATGCCCTTTGAGTTTGGTCGGGAATTCCGCGGCGGCGATCGTGTTTTCTCTCTATATATGGCCTCGGTATAACCGGTGCGTGACGGCGGTGGCGCCGGGTAATCGATATTATCGCCAACCGGCCATTTTGTCTTGGGTAGTAGTAGTATAGTATAGTAGTATTAGTAGTAGTAGTATAGTATTAGTAGTACTGTAGTAGTAGTAATAGTAGTAGTAGTACTGTAGCTAGTAACTACTATAATGTAACACCATACATATACGTACAATTGAGGTATTATTACTGGCGTTGCTGCCTTTAAATAATTATACACTCATTTTATTATCGTGTAGACTATAGGATGATCTAGACGCAAGCTCTACGCAAAAGAGAGAGGAACGGTCGGTAATAAAACAAAGTTCAAGCGTGTAAACGATGAGTAAAGTATATAAAAATAAACACTGCTCACCCGTAAGCGGCCAGAGTGGAGTCGTAATGATAGTAGCCGGTGGACGGTTGCAGACTGGCGCTGGACCACATGTCCGACGAGCCCGTCGAGTCTTTCAGTCCGTACGGGTTGCTCTGAAAAAATTTCAAAAAAAAAAAAAACCAATAAAGCGAATGAAAAAAGTCATACGTATGAGCAATTTTTCTTTTTACCCGGGACAATATATCTGTATATATATATATTTATTTATTTATAATACGACGACGACGACGACGAAACGTGCGCGCAAGTTTTTTCAAACACGCGGACACGACAATCAGGTTAGGTCGAGTCTATAAATCGACGATTCCGTATATAAGGCGGCTTATAATAACGTATATATGAAACTGGTCGAGAGGTAATCCCCCCCGTTTGCGTACACACAATTTGCCCAGGAGGTCCGACCCATCAACGTCATATGAGGTTGCGCAGTGTCCTTATATTTTTATTATTATTATTATTGTTGTTGTTATATTGTCGTCTGTATGACGTCGGAACGAGCTGCAGAGTATATTGTGACAAGCGGCGGTGGCGCTCCGGAGATCCAACGATCGATCTATTTTAAATGCTTCGGTTAACCACGTCATATAATATGTTGTATACCGGCAAAGTCGAAACTTTATTCTGACAGGCTGACGAGAAATCTATAATAATGTATAAATATACCTGTAGCGGATAGACGAGCTCAATGATTCAAAATTGAAAAAAAGAAACAGGTTATTCGTAGTTCAAAATTAGTTTGTACTTTTTTATTTAATAGAATAATATATAATTGTATAATATGCTAAACCGCAGAAAACGTTTTTTTTTACGAATTCAGAACAGGTTTTGCCTCCTACTCCGTCCGATAATATATTAGGTACATTAATATATTATATTCTATATATACATAAGTCGTGATGGCTCACAAAATTATACGGTTTATTTGTTTTACGATCATTTATTTTTTAATTGATACACATCGATAACAATTTATGTGCGTGTCTATGTATATAATATATATATATAGATAGATGCCCGATCTAATTGTTTTTGCCTTTATTCTGTACATGCATAATAATAATGATCAATCACGTCTTATGCTTGCAGTCCCCGGTATATTATATTATGTATTATGGTTTTATGCGCCGCGTAGATCGCTACAGTCGAGACGATAAAAATGTATATACCTACACTCGATTAATAATATATCATGGCGGAGCTGTTAAAATATTAGTTGAACATTTTATTTTTTATTATACAGATGGATCGTCGATATGATATAATCGTGCGTTTAATAGTTGTGGCACACAGATGTATTATTGCCGTAACTCGATACACGGTCGTAAAGTGAATGATCTCGGCAAACGATTTCACGCCACACATATAAATCGACAAACTCGCAGACTAATAACGACATTATACGAATACTTGCCACTCGTATCGATTAATAATAATATGCTGCACTGTGTTCCAATTATATTATATACGGGAACCTACTCGCGATTTTTTATTCCCGTCCTCCGCATACAGATTGACAATCGCTAACATCAACTGAATTCCTGTTATACGTTTTTTTTTTGTTTCTTCAATCGTATCACCGAGAAGCATAATATGCGGCGGCCGACTATAAATGAATGGCGAACACCGTCGCGTATTACAAAATATAATAAGCTGGCAAAAATTTGCACTACTATATTTTCTACTATATCACTGCACGTAAAAGTAGGTAGTTGCGTAGAATAATTTTAACTTGGAGGTAAAATTCTGTATACGGACTACCATGCGGAAACTCTCTAAGCAATCATGCCCCTTTAACGTCACTCGAGCGTCGTTTCTGGCATATTATCGTAAATGATAATATATAAACGCTAAACATATAAATCAGATGAATATTTTATTGAAAACAAGACGACGACGACGACCTATCGTCAAAACCTTCTCGCGCGTGTACACAATAATATTGTGTACGCAATATAATATATTACACATTATAGTATATATATATACGTACAAAATAATATTATATAGATACGCGCGAGTGCGTTCAGTCACGTAGTCAATAATAATATTTCGCGATTTTTTTTTTCCATCGTCTCATATTAAATATTATTATATATTAATATAATATAATCGTGTTTGGAATTTAATCGGAGGGAAGCTGGCGTAATTCGTTTAAACGAGCGCACTGCACACTCATACACATTCGCGGATGAAGACGCACACGCCAGTGTGTATAATATATATATATATATACATATTGTACACACAGTGTTTAATGAAGTAATACGATTTTAATAACCGGTTTAACGGGCGGGTGTATATACCACGGTATATATAGAGGAGACGACGACGACACGGAGAGGGTGTGAGGGCGCGTGTGTGTGTGTGGGAGTGTGCAAATATTTGGTCTGGAAGCAGCAGCTGGGTCAGGCGTGGTGAAGTTTCCTATCGTCGGGGTTAAGTGTTAGATACGGCTCCCCGGGGATCGGCGGCGACGGCGGGGCGTTAAGAAGCCACCCTGTGGGATATACGCTTTTAATATTAAATATATATAGTGCCGCGATGTGCAGCACCCTCGGAGGAATTTCACGGCTTCCCGGTTTTAGCTGCTCGCGTATATATTATTATTATTATTAGATGTATATAATACGCATATAATATATATAATGGCGGAGGGGGATGACGACCCGTCGGCTACGAGCCCCACGCGTATATATATTGAAATTTATCGACGACGTCGACTGTGCATACAGTTATTATAAGTAGGTATACGTTATTATTATATGATAACGTTATCTTTATAAAGTCAAGCGACGTGTGAAATTTCGTTCGCATTACATAGCTCACCGCAGGCGTCGGCTGGACTAGCCTAACTGTACATAAAGCAATTGATTCGACGAAAATACATAATAATATCTTGCATATTTTAATACATATGTGCCAGGGAAACGTGCGACAATCGTGTACGAGCGATTTATTGACACAGTACTATAATAGGTACATTGTCACAACATAATAAACAAGACAATATAAGCACCGCCCAGTGCTTTATAAGTTATAACCACAGTTGATGCTGCGCGGGAAAAACGAATTATAGGTCGTCGGTTTATTTGAGTAGGTATAACTACTGTTGTATACAATTTTTTTCCATACCTATATTATAATATATCGGTAGCTATGAGTACCATTACATATTATACTAGTTTATACACCGCACAACGGTCGTCTTATAAATTTTGTGTGTACAAAAATAACTTAATTATGTGATATGAAATAGCTTGAGTACCGTTACAATTTTATATTATGTTATAATATATTCGTTGGCCTCAAAGTATAACAGATACATAATACAATAATACATAATACTTATGTATAACGTTTGTATGATACCTAGTACACAATGGAAAACCATACAGCGTGAGAAATCATCAAAATTAATATTTTATAATACTTATAATTTATATGACAAGTAGTCAAATGTAGATTTGATATATCTAGTGTTGCCATGGCTATACATATAATAATATAAAAAAAACTACCTATACAATCATCACTTATGTAAATAACACTAATTGTGTACAATTAATGTAAAGAACTTCTTAATATACTCTACTGTTTTGTTTTTATAGTTAGACAAAAATAATATTATTAATATTATGTACATTAAACATTATAGGTTCTGGTATGTATTATTTCAAAATTTTGTTGGGATGTGTAGCTTAACACTTTTTTAGTATAAGATTAACATAAATATTTCGTCATAGTTACATTAGAAATATTATTAATGTTTGTAGAAAGTAGAATTCAGTGTAGTAATTTATTTGAAAATTGTAGTGTCACTTTTGCCATACCGAAACAAATCTATACCTAACTATATTAATATGTTTATTGTATCGCTCTAATCAAAGTCGTTCAATATTACACTGTAGCATCGCTAAAAATTCTGCGCTACTTTCAATAACCGAAAGCACAATTTTCGATGAAAAATTATTGCCTACGTCACTGTTTTTAAAGGAAGTATTATTAAAACAAAACTGTACTCCTATATCGCGTCACCCCAAAATAGTAGTGCGGTACTACTGTAGCGTCGGCATGTTGCTACTTTCAATCTCTGATTAAACTGCAAGTACATACATATACAACCTCGTTATACACAGGTACAACTATAATTAATCGGAAATTATGATAGGCATTTCTGTATAGGTATATTAACGACTGCTTTACTGCGACGAAAAACATCGTTCAATATATTACATTATATTAACCGACGACGTTACGCATCGTTGTCGCGTTAAAACACGAAAAGAACAAAAAAAAATAAATATCGAAACAAGGTTTATCTTACAGAAACATCGCGTCGCTTACGACCGGTGGTGGCCGGAAATCCGGTGGGAAATTATGTCCGCCCGTTCCCATAAATATGGAATTTACCGGGGAAGACTATGTTTTTATTTTATCTACATCACATATTTTCTATAGTCCTGTCGATTTTTACCGAACGTACGTCGTCGTCGTCGTGTACGGATAAATACATAGTAGACTAGCTCGGCCCGCTAAACGCACGCCCGCAGCACTTTTCCTAAACGAAAAATATAACAATATTATATAATATAATATATATATATCATATTGTGTAAACGATGAAAGCTCGGTCGGATGTCCAACGCCGTGAGCCACTATAAAAGAGAACCCGTCGCGCGCGCCAAACACGGTTTAGCTTTATCCAAGTCGTTATTTTTCGACGTGCGCATACCCCTTTTTCAACCCCATCTCTGCGTGTCCCCCAAGAGCTGCACTGACGTCGGATTCTGCTCACATATATATATACCTACTCTATCCTCTCTCACACACACCAGACACCTATGTTGTATATACAGACATTCTGAAAGCGTTCTCGCGTCCTTCACTATAAATTTCGACGTTGTATATATATGCATGTATATTGTATATTATACGTATATTGAGAAACGCTTTGAATTTATGCGCGGTGGTGGGCTTTTAACGTTACCGCCGCCGCCGGGAAAATCGCTACACGAATATATATATATATATATAGGCATACGATATTGTGTTTGGGAAATCGCACCTGTTTGTCGGTGGAGTGGTTTATCGCGTGGTGTTAATGGCCCCACGCGTTTTTCCCGCGGGGTGATCAATCGCCGAGAGATTGGAAAATGTAAGCGGAAATAAAAACTATTTCCACCACCGAAATCCACTTTTACGCTTAAAAAAAAATTCAACACCTACACATATATATATATATATAAATACGTATTATATCAATATATAAAAATGTATATAATATGTTAAGATATTGTATTATATTATATATATAAAAGCACTGAGCGGTTTGTATCATATATATATATAAGACGCCTGCGCGCTCATAAGATCGGCTCTTTCGAAGTATATCGGTGTAAGTAATCTATCGCATACATTTTCTTTTATTTATAAAATATATATGTCATGTATAGATGCCATGCATATTAACTATTAAGTTGCGTGATTTCGGACGAGGGTGCGTGAACGACCTTGGAACACGGCAACGAAATAAAATAGTAAAGTCCTACACAAAGAAATACATTATGTGCACGATATATTATTTTCACCTGGAAAATATTTTTATATACACACGTATATAATGTATACTATAAAACCGAGTAACAAAAATGTGCCAAAAATAAAATGAATGCGTGAATAGTGTAATTATAGCATATATTTATATTATATTATTATATGGCAGTGCGAACTGCCCTCGATGTGAACGTCGAGTATATTCTATTCAAAAAGAGCGCGTGTCCGCCGTCACACATATATTATATAATATATCGATCCCGGACTGTAATAGTAATGAGTATAATTAGGAGTAAGTATAACAAAACGGTATACCATTATTATTTTATAAATTATATCGTACAACTGGAACGATACGGCGACGGTACATATGATGGAATAGTATCTGTAATAATAATAAGCCGCACACGATACTCTATGATGTATAATAGTATATACAATTATACATCTAATACGTATGACATGGAACGAGTTTCACGACGTACTAATATACCTCTACTTGTGTATATATATATGTCATGCGTACAGATATCATTATATATAGGTATAGTACGTAAATGGAAATTCGTTTCGCGCGACGTGTTTAGACTGTTTAGAGCGAAAAAATTCTTTCCAGACAACTATATTTATACACATACACAACTACAGTACTATACTATTATATTATAGCGGCGGTACACGTCGTAGCCATTGCAGGCCACACAGAGAATGACGAAGAAACTTTCAGCAAATATATATATATGTATAATCACCGCTCGGCAGACAAGAGCTGATGCGGCGTCTATTGTTTGTTATTTTTTTTTCCTCCACCACTTTTTCATTAGCCATGGTGTACTGTTATTATTATTATTTTTGCACTCGTCTACAATTAGCGTCGGTTGTAAAACAAGAAATAATATACCGACATTTAATACGATATTATTATGTAAAACACGGCCGCCACAATGGTCGACGTCGTCGTCGTCGTCGTCGTAGTCGCCGTCGCCGCGCATGAGTTATGGTGGACGTAAGTAGAGACGAAGGGTTTGCACGGGGGGCGGCCGGTGGTGAGGGTGTGGCAGGATGACGAGGGTGGGGGGGAGAGGCACACCATTAAAGTCGACAACAGGTCAATACGTTGTGGGAACTCGTATTACGGCTTGCTATATGTGTGCGTGCGTACACGATTGTCCCGTGTTGGAAGAAACGAGAAGAGGAAGAGTATACCTAATATAATATATATATATCGTGGCGCCAAACTTAGTCTGAACAATGTTATACTATGTGCGTGTGTGCGTGTGCGTATATAAATGTATTTTTTCCCGCTTTCGAATTCTCTCTCCGCGCCATCTCCGCCGAGTAATACCTTTTATTCCTTCAGGATCGTGCCGGCCGGTCAGCGCGTGGTACAGCGGCGGGCACAGTATATAAAAATATAAATCCCTTCTACGGCCGAGTGTAAATCCGTGGCCGAATACGTGACTGGAAATCGTGACAAAGGGCGTGCGATCGTGTATGTGTGTGTGGGTGAACTGCGGTGTATATTGTATGATATGTAAACCGCATATTTCCAGAAGACTCGCCTACCACTCAAAAGCTCTGAACCCGGTCAACTTGAAAGGTCAATTCCATTTCTACCCCACCCCCCTCATATAATTTATAGACGCGTTTTTAGAGGATACGGTCCTGTGCCAGACGTAGGATATAAGGGTGAAAAATACGCGCTGTACATATACACTCTAGTCAGGTATTGCAAGTATATATTATAAGTGCTCTCTACCTTTACATTATAATATTGTGTTATTGTTGACCGACGTATTGAATGCCAGACTGCGCGACAATGGATATTTATATACAGAGTCCTTTGGGAGTGTTAAAACATTTTCAATTAAAGACTTTATCAACTCGAAGCATCAACATTTGACAAATACGACAAATATTTTATGGCAGTGAAAAACAATTTGTACATATTATTCTGGTTAATTAATTATAACTATTACCAGCTATTACTTCTATTAAAATACAAATGTTAAACAAGATTATGTATACCCAGGGGGTAGCGGTACCTACAGCAGTTACTGTAGTTTTGTCCTTCAAAAAAAAAAAATTTTAAAAATACTAACCGCAAATTACTGTAATCGAATTTAATTTTCTGTAATTCAACTAAAATATAATAATAAGTAACAGTGTGTAATTTTACACACTCAGGGACGAATTATCTACGTTACAAATGATTGAAAAACATTCAATAACTATTTCCTACCTTGCATGGATAATTAGGGCTCGGCGTGTAAGTTACACAAAATATCCGTCTCGTCATCGTGCACACGACGGTTAAGTGTATTATTGTTTTCGACGTCATCGCACGCGGTAGCGCATACAATAATAATACGTGTCAGTGGGATAACGTATCAATCAACTGCATACGAGCACGTTATATACACACCCATTACCGTCTCCCTCTCTCACTCCTCCTCCTCCTACCATTATCTCACTCTGTCTGTGTGTGTATAAACTCATTGATATAAAAGATGCTCGTGTTTATATTCATCAATCCACCCCTCGTATATATATATATACGGTTATTTTTCACGCGGCGGCGGCGGCGTTTACTACCCTCTTTATACTCGATCGCATCATATATATTATATATATATGTGTATAAAGTCATAAGCTTCTCTCTTTATTTATTTTTTCGCTCCCCCAAAAAGGCTCTCTCGGTGCTGCCGCCGTCAATTTTCCGCTCGTTAATGAAGCCTCCGCCCAGGCAGTTGCGGTTCTCTCGTGCGCGCACACACACACGTCTGCCTGCGCAAACGAGTAGGGTGTATATAGGGTAGTATCGTGGAAGTGGTGTATGTATACGTATATACATATACTGCGCGTATACAAAGAGAGAGGCGCACAGCACAACAGTTCGCGAAATCACCGCCACCGCACTCTCCTCCGCCCGTCGATAAATCACGTCCCACGCCGATTTCCACCCCCTTCGGCGACGGAGACGGCGGTAGATGGGCGTCATCCCCTCTCTACGGTTAACCGGAGGCTGTGGCGGGAGCGGATTGATTTATGAACGTTGCACTTCGCGCGCGCCAAAGCTTCTTCTCTCGCCGCCGCCGCCGCCGCTGGAGTTTATATATACACGCGGCCCGATCATATATATAATATAATAGTAAACCTTTGCGCGCGTAAAGGCTTTTTATTTCTGAGCGCACCCCAAATAATCGAATATAATTGATACTGGATTATATGGGCGACTTGACTTATGGGCTCGCGTTAAAAGGGCCATTAAAGAAAAAAAAGAGATACTGCAGAAAAAAACTGAGATCCATTGCGTGAAATCACCGAACAATGACGTGTCTCCACGCAGCGCAGGATAAACACGACAAATTCGAAATACGCGAAATCTAATTTATTTTAATTTAACAACAACGATGTTGTACGTATACGCAAACGATTGCAAATTTATCGACAGCGTTCGATTGATAAAGACGGTGATATATTTTCTTTCGAAAACGAGTTTAAAAAACCTATACACATTCTCGTCCTATAATTATCATCTTTATTCTTTAAACCAGTGCAGATAATGTACACATTTTATAATTTTATTGAATCAATAGAGGGGCGAACATAGCCTTTGGGGGGGGGGGGGTACAAACGACCATCCTCTCGGTATCCGATATACCTACATAATGCCTACTACATATATACTTACCTAATATAATAATAAAATCTCTACCTTTAATAGTGTACATGATGGTTTTGAAACTTACCAAGTGCGGGTAAAACGATGACGTGTCGATGCTCGGATACGGGTTCTGGTCGGTGGACGGGTACGGAGCGTACACAGCCGTCGTGGCCGGTGTGCTACGGTGGCTGGCGTAGTGCGGTGGCAGTGACGCGGCCGCGGCCAGGTGGCACGAGCAGACGGCCACGGCGGACTCGGAACCGGCGTTGCGGTCGCCCGTCACGCCGCCGACGGTGGCCGCGGTACAGCACGTGCCGCACCCGGCGGCGCCCATAACGTCGGGCGATAAGCCGCCGCCTCCGCCACCGGCGGCCAACGGCGGTGATACCGACTCTGCCGTCATCGCGCTCTGCGAAAATAAAATTATTATGTTAGTATAGAAAATCATAATGTCCGATATTATATAGATTATAACAGAGGCGGATCTAAGAATTTTTACGCCCTGGAAAATATTAAAATTAAGCCCAATCATAGACCAAGATTGAATATACAAAATCATTCCCTACAATTGTTTTATCATAACTGGAACTAAAATTACAAACATACTTATTAACTTTTAAACACATAATAATATATAGTAATTAATATATTCTGTGGACTGTGGTGTAACCAAGTTTATACTAATAAACTATCACACATTCACACCAAAAACACTTTAAATTTAAAAACTTAGTTAACATATTGTTGATACATTTTTAATTACTGGAAATACTGTAGTGGTTACTTAATTGTATTTATTATTAGAAATAATAATAATATTAGTTATATATGAATGTTGAAAAATAATCAAAACTTTAATTAGCTACCTATCCTGTATAAAAATTATAAACCCTTTTACTGTTTTGGTTCTATGCGCCTCAGCCTTCAATTATAATAGATTTTTATGGTAAAATATAAAATCTTTTATTCTGATTAGGGTACACAATTTAGGCCAGTAAAAAATCGTACTTAATTAAACAATTTATAATAGAAAAAATGAAAAAGTAAATATTTAAAATCAAATCTTTTTTTTAAACATAAACAAATGTATAACTATCTCGGTAAATATTATAAACTATATATTAACATCATTTTTAATTTACAGATATAATATACGTATCGTACGTTGATTGATAATCTTATAACAGTTATTGTGTAGGTATCAGAAATTTTAACGAAAACACAGCATCAATAAAATATGCCTAGGTATAGTTACTAGTTACATTTTCACTCAGAATCTTAATAATTATAGTATATTAGTTGTATATAAATATGCTTGCAGTAGGTATGCTAATGCCAGTATACCAGTATATACTTAGTATAATACTAATACGAATCTATTCATAATACCATTAACTTTATTTTTTTTTTTTCATTAATTCCAACGTCATCACTACAACATCATAAACAAATAATGTGAAATAAAAATGTTTTCTTAACTTCTATCACCAAGCATTAAATAAAGAACTAAAGAAAAATTACGCCCACTAAAATTTTACGCCCGGGGATCAATCCCCGGCTTCAACCCCCTAGTTCCGCCACTGGATTATAATAGCTAATAGGTGTATTATAATGTGCCCACTGGAGATTAAGTAACTATAAAATATTATCGATTTAAAAATAAATATAGGTATTTATTCATATATTTTTTATTTTTGGTACAGCTTAGGGTATTAACTCTGATAAATATTAATACTACATATGAATAAATACATTGGTTTTCCTAGACTGAGTTGTATACATATCAATATACTTGAGAAATAAAATGATTTTACTCAATCATCCGCACCAGAATCAGACACTCCCCTCGCCCACTCATATTTAATTAGCAGAGAACCCCAACTAATATGCGACTCATGTCATACTGCATTAACCATCAAACACAAAGTGGAGGAGTGCACACAATACTCTTCAACGCCGACTTCAACATGCCACCCCCACTGAAAGGTACATCTTCATTCATGAAGAACCATATTTTTTTTTCCCCCATAAGTGAATAACTTCACATTTACTTAGTGTTCGATATTTATAAGCTGATTGTGCAATAAAAAAAAATGAAAAACAAAATTATTAAATATCTAATAATACGTACAAAATAATATGATTGATACTACACCTATGCTGGGATAATATAAGTCACAATAATTTAAAAATGTAAAGTTATCACCTCAGAACTTTTAAATTAATTTAATTGTAAGAAATACATAATATTGTTAATAGGTAATTTTTGGAAATGTACCAAATTTTCATGGTTGAAATTAAATATAGGTAATGGGGTATTGCAAACCGAAATACCATTTTCTTGACTATATATTATATTATGGCGTAGGTAGACTATATTATATACACTAATAGTGCGCAACAGGAGGATGTATTCAAATGAGTCGAAAAGCGTATATTCAGGAGTCACAACCACCGAAATATATAGGGAGAAGGAGAGAATAAGTTATAAAGGGTTTGCGGGTAGTGGGAGGTTAGGGAGAAATAGCGATCGGTTTTAAAACAGGACAATCTATCAGACGTACCTCCTCAGCTTCACTGTAAATTAAATAAATATATAATACCTATACTAAAAACCACGCGAAAGAGAAAACAAGAACAGTGGGAGTATTCTATAGAATGTAGATTATATTAGACTAACAACTTTTAAAGTTTAGATAGTATCGTCCAGTTTTTATTTATATAATAATAGTAAGACATTGTCATTTTAACGTTTATGTTGGGAAATAATAGTAATAATGATATTTACACCGAAATGTTGAGAGAACAATCGAAGTATAATATTATGTAGTTTATACTTTATCTGTATAGGTATATTAATACAGTTTATGGGGAATCCGAATTACGAAATAATCGTGAGTTAATGAGGGTGCGAGGTAAAAGTTGATTACGAGTTATGACAGCTGGTTTTAATCAAGAACCGCAGGGGAAACGAATGAAGGCATAATATTAACATATTATTATACATGGTAGGTATTATTATTAAAATATATACGCGTGACGATTGATTTAAATATTCATCCGAGAAAAAGCGTGGCTGATGATAATAAAAATAATAATAACGTAACGTATTGTTGTCGCAAAAACGAGTTTGTTTGTATACACAAACACCGCGTCCACACACCAGGCGTACTGTCCCAAACAAAACCGTCGTAATACATATTATTAATATTGTGTCGGTATGATATACAACAATTTGCGCGTTATATAATTTTTATACAGATAATGCATATATATGCAGCCCGTCGTTTTTGCGCAAAATCTAAAGGAAATTGATACGTTTCGTAACATTAAACGCCGTCGTCACCTCGGTTTAGGTGTGCGCACGCATAGTATTACGACGGACGACTACGACGACGACGTTATTACTCGCGCGGACAGTCCCGTCTGCGGGCGGCGGGCGTCTGTCGTCGTATAATTATTTTAATTGGCCATTCGATACCAGTCACAGTGTGGTGTGTGTGTGTGTGGACGGTGGCGAGTAGACCGGTTGTGAGGTGTGAACCCGAAAGCGCTTCGTCGGGTTTTCAAGAAAGGTATATTATATATATATATGTATACGTACTTACGTATATTAATATATTATATTATCTATATCTGGTCGTCGTCGACACCAACTCGACCGCAAAAACCAATAGACCGGAATGGCCGGGCGGCAGCGGTAGACAATAATGAAAATATAACAATATATATTATTATATGCGTACATACACACCTATAGGCTATATATTATTATATACGCATAGATACCTGCAGACCGTATGGGCCGCCGCAGTTTTTTTTTTTTAAATATAATATCATAATATAATATGAACGTATATATTAGTATTGTCTACTGCGACGCGGAACAAACGCGAAGCGACGTCGGTTCGATGGAAACCGTAGGCAGGTGTCGATGCCCGTGTTTTTCGAAACCTTTACACGATTATACGCGCATTAATAATATTATATTATAATTTACTATTATTTATTTCACGATATTGTTGTGGCACGCGAAATATTATCGGTGACCGACGCGTATATCAAACACGCACGATGAATATTATAATAGTAGGTATACACCTATCTAGTATCTATACCTATAATGTTTATTGGGACGTATTTATTAGCTATCGTAAATCAGAATTTAAATTACGCGAGCACCTTGTGCGTAATTATCTTATTGCACGCTGTCATGTCGAGAATCGATTTGATTGTCCGTTGTATATTAATATAATATAGGTGCCTATAACTATTTAATTATTATTAAATGGGTATACCTATATTATAAGCGTGCAAATATACCGGCAAAAATTAGTCGAGTATTTTATTTTTTTATTCTAGCTATATATTATAATAACAACTAGCCGATCGTATTATTATTAGGTATTGTAATTTATAATATTATTATAAACGGATAAAACTTATACGGTATACATATATAATTATAAACATATCTATGTATTATATTAGATATATATATAATATTATATTATACTACATAGATATACTGCACACACGGACACGGACACCCGGCGTCAGGCTAGCCTATGTCCCGGACACTATATATAATACCGCATACAAACGGGTAGGAGGCCAATGGTGGGGTGTATAGTAACGTAATAAAATTCTATATAATTTATACACGCAGTAACAATTCATAAATATTTATGAACCCGTTTTCGTGGGCTATATACCTGCGTATATATACAACACACCACCACCGTGTGTATATATACGCGATGCGTTTGATCGTCGTACTGATAACAGCCATTATTACGGTTATATATTATAAATATATATTATACGCGTACATAATATACATATAACATAAAATACCCACACGCGCGTATTTTATATTTTATTTTTATTTTTTTGCATTCTACGCTGCTGCTTGCACTCTAATACTCTATTATACCTTACTATTATAGTACCTATACATTACAAATGTGCTAAAATGTGCTTTTGTTAATTAACATTTTTCAATAGTAACTATATACATATATCAAGTGTACTTATGATACTTATAAGTTGTAGTACACATATAATATACGCGAATATACGACATCATCGTCGAGGTCGTCATGCGTAACGCGTTTTAATTGCAACGCGGGCGATAGGCGAAATTCGCCGGGTTATCAATCAACTACATTGTGGGTAAGGGAAAACTCGTGTTTTTTCACTATATAAGAAACATGTGTCATAACTCATAACCTAGGCGTGCAAGAATAGCCATCAACCTCATCCACCACCCCTCTCACCCATAATTTCCTTGCTCCGAGAGTATAGAAAATATAATATGATATTGTTTTTTCGTGGAATATTTTAAGTTGTATACTATTATTATATATAGAGATGGATAAATAGAAAGAGAGAAAAAAGTCT